CTATATATAATTACGCTAAAAAAAAAGTTTGCATGCCCTTTTTTTTGCATGCCCTGCTTTTGACTGTGTTCACGACATATATGGATAACATTATTAATTAAAATACCGTTGGAAAGGAGAAGACATGTTGAAGTGCATAACGTTATTTTTTCGCATGTGAAATTTTCGGAGAATATATTGCATTTTATTAAAGGTTCAAAGGTGTCCATTAACCGATATTGATTCTTTACCTAGGTACCTACGTCATGTCAATCGAGAGATCATCCTGCATGCACTGAAAGTATTTAGTCTGATGGAAACAACTAAATATAGCAGATGTAAAGAAAGCCATTAGGGGCTCGATAAGGTATTAGCTGCAGAAAAAATTTAGCTTTGCAAGTTTTTAAACCAATATGGTTTTAATATAAAAGGTAATGTTATCAACACAACTCTTTTCCGGATCATTTCATTAGTGTTTATTTACATTGCACTCTGACACTCAGTGCAAATATTTTACATGTAGAATTTATGACAATAAAAGGTGATTAAAAACAACAAATAAACGCTTAGTAATTCAATATATATAAATACACAGCGCATTTGTTTGTTTGCATCCGATTCCACCTGTATGTGGCTGTGCACGCGTGAAATATTTATTCGAAAAATGTTTAAACTGCAATTGCAATGTAATTGCGACTAATTTGGTGCTTAACATGTCACACGACACTACATGCATGTGTTGTACTTGTATATATGTACAAGTATACAACAATAAAAACATAGAATGCGCTTGTGAAGCTAATGTGGCAACAATACAGAATTGTTAAGCACGACTATTACCTGCTAGCGTTAGTCGGAGTGACGGTAATTTAAGTGTGGCTAAATTACGAGTTGCTCTTATAATAACAACAACAATAAGCTTAACAGTACAATAAAAGTAATAGAGACAGCAGCAAAATGTACTTCTAACGAGGCAACAAGTGTGCAAAGACATGTTATACGCGTAATTCGAGGCCATAAGCCTGCTCATGTGAACACGTTGGTACATACATAGATACATACAAACATTTTTGTACTTCTATGAAGAGCTGTGGAGGAAAATGTCGAGATATTTGACAATGTGGCTATACTGAAAACTGAGGGGCTTCATATGTGATATGAGATTATATTGGATCTATAACTACATTCGTGCGGTTTGCTAAGAGTTGGCATAACTTTTATTGTGCTATTATATTTATTGTTCCAATATTCCGAACTGTCCTTTTCAGTAAAAAACAATACTTTCTTTTTCAGTAAAAAAAATACTTTTTTCTTTTTTTACTTTACTTTTTGAAAATGTGTTATGTGGGCAGTTCTTTTCCATTACTCCATTACTCTATATCTTTATATCTAAAATTTCAGCCGCAAGTCATTGTGTTTTGATGGAAGTTTATGGTTAACGTTCTCTAGCTGAGCGAACGTGCTAAAAGTGCAAAAAATCATATGTGATACTTGGCCAACCAGCCATGATGCCATTAAGTGGGATTAGAAGGGCTTCTACAAACCGGGTGACACCACTAATGAGGAAAATGGCTGCCGAAAATGCCCGAAGTTTGCGACAAGACACGAGACAATAATACTCATCATCACAATGCTCGGCCTCATCTTGCACGACCGGTTAAAAACTATTTGGAGAACAGCGGCTGAGAAGCTTCGTCTCACCAGCCTTATAGCCCAGACTTTGCTTCTTCTGACTACTATTTGTTTCGGTTGATGCAGAACGCTCTCACTGGAATATGGTTCACATCAGAACGGGGTATCACAAATTGGATTGATTCACTCTTAACTGCCAAGCCGGCCCAGTTTTTTGGGATGGAATCCACAAATTGCCAGAGAGATGAAAATGTTATAGCTTCAAATGGGTAATAATTTATAAAACTATTGTTTTTTCTAAACAAAAGTTCAAGTTTTGAAAAAAAAGCGCACGAATATATAGAAAAAATCTGCGTATAAAAACTTGGTATAGGGAATACAGTTAAAAACTGAGACTAAAATACATATAGGGCTTTTCGGCATCTATCTTTCTCTTCAGCAGCCTATAATAATTATAGAAACGGATGGATAGCACTAGACGCTATAAAATACCAGATTTACTGAATCAGGCATGCTAACATTAACAAAGTTTTGAGAAAAAGTTATGTATATATAAGTAACATATATATTATATATTATATATTATTATAACTGTACTACTGTGCACAAACTACCGCCTACAAGTATTCAATTCCTCGTCGACAACTTTTACGGTTATTACTGAAATTTGCATAAAGCGCTAAGAAGTTTGTCTAATATTTTTTTATTGTATTGTAATTAAGCGTATTTTATTCATTATGTGTGTTATTGGTGTTATTTTCTAGATTAGTGTTATGTTAGCCACTTCAGGCGCGACAATGACGGCTTTATTGGTCATTATTCGCAATTAAAACAACAAGCGACACTTGATTATGACCAAGTAATGGCAAAGTGTGTTAGAAGTGTGAACAATTTTAATGAAATACAGTAGAAAATATTAAAAAAAAAAATTTTATAAAAGGAATTTCGAAATAAGAATTTTATATAGCTTAAGCTGGAGTCCAATATTGCTGGTATGTTTGAAAAATCATTAGTACCAGAAATTTTTGGGTTTCGGTTGGGTTTAAATTAAATTTAATATTTTATTTAAAAACTTAAAAAGTAAAAATTGCATTTTAGTTAAAAATTAAAATTAATATTTTAAAATCTTGTTTTTTTTTTTAATTTCTGCTGATAATATGCCACAGTACAGTTAAAAATGAAATTTTTATTCAAAGAAAAATACCAAAGGCAAAAATGCATGAGAATATGTGTTTGTAAATTAAAAAATCTTTTTTTTTGTGCAAATTTTCAGCTGTGACATGGCTAATCATGGCCGTCCCACGCTTACCAATTCAAGGCGACAATAATATGCAGCGCCACTTTGTTGGCTTTAAAGCAAAAACAATACAAAATGTGCATGACAAATTTGTTGTAGGAGTTACACTGCAGTTCGAACTACGCTGGCGAGTTATTACTGCAATATATTCGCTTATATGTGACATACTTAAATGTATATGCTGGTAAGCTTGCTCTTGTTCAAGTCAGCGCAATTAACTGCATCATTAGTGCTATCGAATTTGACGCTTAAAACCAAACTTTGACATTATTATTTTTGAATAGCTATAAAAGAGGCTTGAGCTGAAATTTATCTAAGGGGGATGGTCTTTAAGAGGTGTAGAGTTTTATTACGTTGAGATGGCGAGGAGTGTCATCAATATTATTTGAATTCATTCAAAAAGCTAATAAGGTTTTATTTAGCATAGTTAGAATGAACCGATTTAGGTGAAATATGCACTGGTATATAGGGAATAGTTAATAATCCCACAAAACAAATAGCAAAACTTTCCTACCGTCAAAGCTGGCATGTTTTTTGGTTTTTTTTCGCTTAACGATGTCGTAAGTAACCAACTTTTCATTATCAGTATTTTTGTATTTTTGAACCCTGCTGTTTTCTAACCTAGAGACCGGCTATTTAATTAAACTACAGTTTGGTGCTTAAAATATTGAATTCACTGACAGTTTCAAAAGAATTTGTACATAAATGCATTCGATGCGCTTAATTTTGTCTGTCATAATAATTCATGGCCTCCATGGACCATTTAGCTATTAAGGATTTTCAATACATGCACCAAAGTTACAATTGCTTTTTATTATTACAAAAAAATGAATACAGCTCACAATTTGACAAATTTGAAGCAATTTAAAACAATTTCGTCTTTTCGGTTACCTTGCAATAAATTTGTATGCACATGTTGACATTTTAATTGAGCAATAATTACATCATTACCAATAAATATTTAAATATATATATTAAAAGCATGAAATAGCGCTGACAAAAATGTGAAGGGGTATTTGTCACCCACACAAGCGCAACGAATGCCAGAGGCGAACATTAGCTTTGCATTGTGAGCATGATGAATGGACTTCCCAAACCATAAGACCGCAAATGAGTTATGGCTTTGAGTTTTTTTTTGTATAATTTTTAAAATTTGAATACACAAAAAACTCAGCATAATGTAATTAAAGCGGCATTGTGCCGTGCAGTGCTGGGATTTCAGCACTAAAATGACAATAAACCTAGTTAAATATTTTAAACGCACGATTTTTTAACGGTTGCATGCCGCAAGAGCATTTATGAGGCTTTTATTATTACATCAAAGTGCCGTTAGTGTAACGAAATGAAAACAAAATTGCCTTTTACCATAAATATTCGTGACTTAATTTGACAGCATTCAATGGAAATTAGAAAAAATAGAAAAATCAACGCTAAATAAAAGCTAATCAATATATTATACAAAAATAACCGACTCTAAATGGCTAAGCGCCAGTTCGAATTCCAAACACAAACACGAAATTCTCTTGTAAATAAAAAATAGGCATATATATTTATAGCTCATTTAATTCCTTTTGTGCCTCCATATTCATAATTCAGACAGTATTCATCAGTTCATCATCACTTATATTGCGGGTTTGACTTCCCGCTTGGCTGCCATGCGCGCCGCACCAATTAACGACTCATTCTGAGGCCGCAGCGATGCGCAGCGCGTTGCTCGTGTTAATTTCATTTCCATTATTAGCACATAACTGCAGTTCCATATGCCGTTTGTATGTAAGTGTGTGTGTTTGTATGTACTATCAGCTGACTAATTGACTTACTGGTTGGCTGCTTGCATTGCTGGTTGTTTATAATGCTCCATATGTGTATATATGTAGATATGTATGTTTATGTGTTTCACGACTCTGTTGACTAATTTTCAAGGTGCTATATATTCACTTTAATTGTATAATAAAAAGGCGCCTACTTGTTGACGAGTTTGTCGTTTAAGTCTTTCGTTTTATGGCTTAATTAACTCACACTGCCATTGTGTGTATTTTTTGTGTGTGTGTATATAATATAAAATAAAGTTTAAAGTGTAAATGTGACTCACCTTCTACACCTTAGAACTATGACCATTACAATAGCACCTATAAGAGCTGATATGATTGAAACTATGATTAAGGTGAACGCCCAACCTAATTCGCCGGCGTGATCTGTAAATAAAGTAATAGAAAAATAGTGGTTAATTAATTTCACCGTGGTTTATTCAATTTCAAATGAAAAATAATTACTTATATTTGAATTTTTTTGTAATTTGTGTCGATTGTACTAATTATATAACAAACTCAAGAAAATCAAAAATCAAATGAAGTATATATATTTTTTCCGATACTGTCTTAACCTACCTGCCCGATAATGACACACTATGACAAGAAAAAACAATTTTTCATGTAATATATTTATTATCGCAGACATTTAGTGTTAAAATCTCAGCAGAAGATTTATACAAAAAACAAAAGTTTACTACAGCTGTTAACTAATTTACTTAAAATAAGATTAATAAATAATTTCAAGCAAAATACGACATAATACATATTTTCTTAAAAAATTGAAAAAAAAGTTTGCTGGAAACAAGATTAAAGTTTTTAATTTCGTTATGAGAAATTAAATTTCCTCTACTTTTATACATTTTCCTGAGCTAGAAGCGCCAATTATTCCGTAGCTCAATAACTGCCACTAACTTCCACATTTGTAATGCAATTTTTAATAATTTTCACTAACAAATCATGTAAATTGAGCTGAAAGTATTATGCTAAAAAAGCGAAAGCTCAAAAGCGAGCAACTCATTGGCAAGTCTATGTAGTGCAACATGAAAGCTTTCTTGATTTGCCGCTTCCCACTGACTAAGCTAAATAATTTATGCGGCAACAAAATATATATTCATTTTATTGGCATAAAATATTTTCCGAATGCGAACATAAAGAGATTGCTGCTTCTCTGGTCAGCTGTCTGATCTATCAAGGGGTATACCAATTTTCACTGTAAATTATATTTATTGCTACTTTAGAGCGATTTGCTTTCGTTTTTTTACTCTCTTTTCAAAAATTACAATAATTTAACAGAACTTCATTTGATTATTCACACAACGGTCGTAGGTGTATAATTATTCTTGTAAGGCTGCACGCCCACTTCCTTTCGCCTTTTAACAGTTTCTTCTTGCTTCGGTGATTTATATTTGGACTATCATTTCGATTCCGTTGCTATAATGGATTGAATTATTGTCAATTTGCTCAATTGTTTGAGTTAGATGGTATATTTTAGGCCTGCCAAATAAATAGTAATTAAGCGTGTATTTGTAATTATAAATTTGGTAATTGTAAAGGGTGGTTCATACCAGCATTGAAAAAAAAAATATAAAAAAAAAATATTTTTTAGCAAATGTTTACATTGTATTCATTTATATGAGTTATTGAAATACTCATTTAATTTTTGAGAACAGCTTTCAAATTTGTCTATTAAAAACTGTTGCCTAGATTAAGGATTAACCACACTATTAGAAGTATAGACTTGAATAGGGTACATGAGGTTTGCCACGAAGTTTGTAATGTAAATTATATATATGTATAGGTATGTGATCAGCATGATGACCTGAGTCGATTCAGCTATGTCCTCTCTCTGTATATACAAGCACAATTCGATCAGAAACGCTGATATCGGACCACTGTAGCATATAGCTGCCAAACAAATTGATGAATCAAAATAAAGTTCTTGTATAAAAAACTTTATTATTTGAAAAGATAACTGCTGATAACTTTGCCTAGATTAATTAAGACAGTGCTATAATCTCCCAGCAAATCGTTTGGATCAAGATAACATTTTTTTTTGATCTTTTATGCTATGAGAAATGCACCTGTGAAGGGTATTATAGCTTCGATGTAGTCGCAGTCGAACACTCCAAAGTGTTGTATCCTCAAAGTGAAGGCAGCTATTGTTAGTATCAATGAATGGACCACCCTGTTTCTAAGGTGGCCTACAAATTATAACTACTTTCCTTTTCATAAGCAATAAATGGCGGTCTTTGTCTTACATTTTGTTGTATGTTTAGTAACGGCGTTATTTATTTGTGTTGTTGGCGCAACTTTTACTCTTGTTAACAAACTTCCGTTTACGATTTTATCTCATTTCCTGTCCACATAAACAGCGCACAACGAGTGGGAGGAGTTTTACATAGTATTTATTGATGTTTTTGTTGTTATACACTAGCTGGCAAACGCGGTGAACTGGTTTGAACATTTTATTTGCACTTGCTTGCTCGTCGTAAGATGATTTGCGGTTTTGACGCCCCACAAATTTATTTCGTTGTTTTAATAGACGTATAGTTGTTGCTGCTGTTGTAGTACTTAATGGTTATGCATTGTTGTAAGTGTGTGTATTTTAATTACTTATTTCACCCGTAATTTAACTTTGAGCTCATTCATGCCACTGCCAACACTCTTTGCTGTGCCGCAAGTTTCTAAGCGCCAACAAAATCATGCCACACTTGCCACAACTATGTATTTATATGCATACAAATGTACACTTGAAGGCAGCGTCCGCTGACCGTCTGTTAGAAGCGCTCGGCACTTCGGTATCATTAAAAGCGCATAAATATTTGAAGCAAACGTTGCGAGAAGACAAAGCTCGAAACCACAGACAACACACAAGCGATGGCGCGCGGGGCGAAAACGCTCACTGTCCCACCGCTATCGTTGTTGCTGTGTCGAAAGGAGGTCATTTCGCTTTTGTTGGCCAATTTATTCGATTTCATCTCCCGCTTTGCGCCTTACTCCTTTCACTTGGCTGCGTCCTTTTTCGCCTTTCGCCTTTCGCTTTTCTCCTTTGTACTTTGTATTTGTATTTGCTTTATTTATTTATCGAAAACTTTTCAACTAAGCCGACAACAGCCAACATTTGTATGCCCCAAGCCTTTTTGGCAGCGCGCTTTGTGCACTCACAGCGCCGAACACAGTGGGACAGTGCAGCCGCGCAGCGGGAAGGGTGCACGAAAGGGGTAGCCGCCGTAAGGATAACATCAAGCGGTTGAAATGTTTATTGTTTTTTCGACGATTTATAGTTTCGTGTTGATAAATAAGTAAGTAGTAGGTCCAAAGTTGCACTCAGAGCCCTAAGTGTGGTCTTTTTCGTTTCACTCATCTACGTGTGTATGTTTTTGTTTGCTTATGTTCCTTTCATCCTTGTGGCGTTTTGTGCCCAAGATTGTCACTTTGTGATAAATGGCGAAACTCAAAGAGTGAATGCGTGCTCGGCTGCGCCTAAGTGAGTGGGTCATAGGGTTCTTAATTTTGATATCAGCGGCAACAGCGCTCAACAGCTGTGTGTGGATTAGTGCCGTCTGTTGCGGTGCAAATTGATGATCAACGAAAGTGATATGTTGAAATTAAGTAAGGGAATTGGGGCATAGTGACTAATGCTCTGTGTTCAAGTGCAATCAATTAGTTTGATATTTCCATTTATTATCATATATATGAACATACATAAATATATCAATCGATTTGTTTTCAGTTATTCAGTTTGTAGTGTAGACATTTGTATTTGGAATCAACTACTCGACTGTTTGATTAAACCCATTTAACAATTGCAGTAAACTTAATGATATTTATCGATTATTCAAACTTATCGATTACTGTTGTTTAGTAAAACGAAATTGGTAATTATTTATAATATATTCTTTTACTCTAATTATTTTATACATAGTTGATATATTTATCGATTGGCCGAATCCATCGAGTATCGTTATTAATTTATATGTATTAGCTAATTATATATAACTAATACTAATTTATATTAAATTATTTTATAAAGATATTTTTATCGATTAATCGAATCTATTGAAGATTTTTATTTATTTCAATTACTTATTATTTTTAACTTATACTAATTTACTTTCTATTGATGATTTTTATTTATTTCAATTACTTATTATTTATAACTGACACTCATTTACTTTGGATGAGTTTATAAAAAATATTTTTATCGAACGTATCGATTATCTTTGTTAATTTAAGTGACATCACTAAACTTTTTATATCATATATTCTTTTATCGAAATTAGCTTTTACAAATATTTTTCGCAGAACTTGTAATTTTTCTACATAATCGTGTATAATAATTTTTTTAATCGAGGAAGTGCTAAATAAAACATTTTTCTTTCACTTTACCAGAAAAAAGTTACAAGCAAGTTTATAAGTATGCGCATAATAAATCGTCGAATAATTGACGATATTCTATCATTTCGATAAAATTGCTTTTTTAAAAGATATAGTATCTAATAATTTGCGGCACCTTACTTGATCTATTCAAACGTTCCTTGAGTACTTACAAGTCAATATTTCCAATCTTCCATCTATAAATATATGATTCTTGATACAAGAGAGTCAGAGGAGAGTATATAAATACATTTGTTAGAGATTTTCCTGTTTAATATGAATTTTCCAATCAATTAAATTTTGTTAACGATTTTCAAGCCAGTATTATACTTAGTTAGATATGAAATATGATTTTCGAAAATGGGGAACTATTGACCTTGAAGATATTTTATCTCGGATAAACCAACGTCTAGCGCTCAAGCACATGCTTACAATTTAATATATTGTTGTGTGTATATAAACTTATAAACATATCAAAGCTTTGAACCACGATTCATCTAACTGCGTTCACACACTTAACGACTCAGCGATAGCGGGACTTTTTATTGTGTAGAAATTGCTTGGCTTTAAGATAGCGTTTTACAATTTCCTTAACACATAATAAAAGCTTTGCATTATTTATTCTACATACATCTCTGGCGCTCTCCTTTTCCTTTTCAACACGGGCGCGTTGTGCCACTTTGGCCTACTTAATGCGCGTTTACTGTCGCAATTACAATTAAAACGAATTTGCCAGCCAGTAAGATGAAAACATTCGAGGATATAATTAAAGGAAACCCCATTACGAAATGAACAAACCAGGCGGCTCCTAAGCCATTTGCCGTTTTTCTGCTTATCTCAGAGCCATTAAGCTGGCGATAGAATTTTTTGGCAAGCAAAAAGCAGTTGTGTGGGTAAGCATATTCGGAAGGATTATGTGCAGCGTACAATTCAATAATACACACCGTCAGCAGAAAATTTTGTAGAACAGAAAAGTTATCGATTTTTTTGGCGATTGTGGCGTTGAC